AAGGACCCGAGCCGCCCCAGGCCCCGCCCCTCCTAGATAAACCTGAACCCGGGGTGGGTGGGGGAGATGCGGTGGGGCGGGGGAGGTCCGGCTCCCCGCGCCGCCCGTGCACCCCGCGACTGGCCGGTGCACACGTCCTCTTTGTCGGTTCCGGGTGTTGTTGCAGGTGTTTCCCTACCTTAGTGCCTTTGGTTGCCACCATTCCCTTCCCGGGGAGCTGAGATGCTGCCTAGAGGCCACGCTGCTTGTTGAGGGCAAGGGAGGGACGCGGTGAGGATGCGGTGCGGGGACCCTGGAAGGGTGGCGGGTGGAGGGGACTAAAAGTAGGTGGGAGGAAGGAAGAAGGAGGGCTTCCGCTAGGCTTGGTGTCGCCAGGACCCCGGGATACCTATGGCTTGGGACCCTGGAGCGCCTGTCCTCTCGCGCTTTGCTGGCAGCTCCCCAGGCTCTAAGCTCAGAGCCCAGGAGTCCATCCTGAGTGTGGTGACCCAACCTGTATCTTGCCTCCTTGGTGAAGTTCAGCTGAGCTTCGCCAGGCCCTGCAGAGCCCAGGCGCAGTTTGGGGGGCTCCCACCTTGTTCAGCACAACAGCCAGCCATTCCGGAGAGGTTGTCCCTACTCCCGCACAGACCTGGCCTGAGCACACCTCCAGATCAGCACAGTGTTCTTCCTCGGGGAGGCCTTGTCTTTCTGCTTCACCTAAGTTCTGAGCCTTTCTTCCAACCCCCCACGTTTCTGAAACTGCTAGAGCGAGCATGCCCCTCACCGTGTGGGGGACACGCTAAAGGTCATGATAGGTCTTGGCCAGTCACCTCATGTCCCCGATCTCCAAGTGTGAGCCCAGAGCAGATAATCAGCCCCCTTCCCTACAGGAGCCCAGAGCATTCCGTGTCCCGGACAGGGGAGCGCAGGGGACTTTGATCCAGTTCTGCACAAGGACCTGCTGGTCCTCCCCTCTCTCAGCCTCGGTTTCCACTCTGACCTTCAGGGCGACTCTCAGATATGGATGTTGTGCCGGGATTGCTCAGTCTCCCTGGAGTCCTGACTCCGGGGGTGAAGCAGGCTGTTCCCAGCTCTTCTTCTTCTTGAGGTCAGAGCTCCCTAGGAAGAAAGGTATGAGGACTTGAGGGTCAGGGGGTAGTGTGTTCATGATGTCAGCCACTGGAGAGGGAGGTGTACTGTTCTGAGAAGTGGGTTTTTTTTCTGGTAGCTGGATGCTTCTCTGTGAGGTACTAACACATGTGTGAATGAATGGAATGAATGAATGAATATAAAATGAAAGGCAGGTGGCAGCTGGGGTTTGCCCCTTGGTGGGAGCTGCAAGAATGTCTCTCAGAGCCCACTCTTGCAACATGACCCCCAGAAGGGAGACCTGGGAAGCAGGAGGCCTCACTCACCTCAACTGGCTTAGGTGGGGCCTCAGGTCGATCCAAGGGGAACCAAGTCCGAAGCCCACGGCCACATTCCAAGTTCTCCACAAAGGCAGAATGGAAGCAAATCCCAAAGCTGCCCCCTTACCAGACTCCTGGGACAGTTTTGGGCTCTCTAGCCCAGGCTAGCTCCAAACTCACAATTTTCCTGCCATTTCTCCAGGGTGGAGATCAAAGGCCTTTACCACCCCACCTGACTCCTGCCTCTCCTTAACCATGGAAGCTCCCCAGCTCCTGCCTCCAGACCTGGGGGTCACTCACTCTTACCACAGGTTCTTCCACTTCCTGTGGCCAATTCCCTTCCAGATTCTGTGGAGGTGGCATCTCCTACAGGAAGCCTTGTCCGGTTGGTCGCATCTACGCGCTCCTTTGTAAGGGTCCCAACTGCAACTTCGTGAATCCTCGTGAAGGATCAGAGGCGAGCTTGACAACCTGAGACGGCGTTGTGACCACAGGTAGAACCAGGAGCTCTCCAGCCACAGCTCAGGAAGCCAGCAGCCACCAAAAGTTAAAGAGACCAGGGAGAGACTCTCCTGAGAGCCTCTGCAGGGGCGCAGCTCTGTCACCACATGCACGTGACCTCCTGACTTCCAGAAAGGAGAACACATTTCTGTTTTCTAAGCCACCAAGCTTGGGGTGGTTTGTGGCAGCCCAACAGCCACGGGCATTAACAGCACGCGGTGTGAGTTGTCCATACTAAGTCATATCAACAGCCGAGCCGAGCAGAGGTCTGGTCCTCTTTCAGCCCCATGATGCTCCTGTCAGGTTTCCTGTCTGGAAAGCAGAGGTTATAGTTTCTACTCTGCAGAGATCTGGGGGGTATTTCATGAGAGCTGTGTGCATTGTGTCTTGCCCAGGGTCTGGCACACCATGGCCTATCCACGTGTCCGTGTAGGCAGGCTCAGAGCCAGTCTACAGGGAATGTGTCGCTGAGACAGGATCTCATGTAGCGCAGGTTGGACTCCAGCTTGCTATGTAGTCAATGATGATCTTGAATTTCTGATCCCCCTGCCTCCACCTCCGAGTGCTGGGATTCCAGGCCTGTGCTGTCCCATGTTGTTGCTGACGCAACTCAGGGCCTCTTGCATGTTCTCCACCAACTAAGCTTCATCCCAGCCCCAAAGGGGTGCATCTCTGCTGCAGTCAGTCCACGAGTTCACTTCACCATCCAGGCTGCCCAGAAATGGGGCAGAACTCGCACGTTCTTCCTCCTCACAGCCTGCAGATATTTCTCAAACCATGAATAATTATCACTTTGGAGAGGAGAAGGTGGTAAAATTATTTCCCTTCGTCACCTGTCTTGAGCTGCAGAGCGCACACACACTTCCAGTCCACAGCAGGCCCTGGGGGGATGGGCCCTGGCTGGCCTGGGCTACACAGCTCCAGGGATTCTGGGGTTAAAGGCACGTGCTACCACTTCCGTCCCTTTAAAGATTCTAAGGGAAAATGGCAAAACCTTCCAAATTCTGCTCCACTGGGCTCTACACCCGGTTACCGGCTGCAGAGAGGGCCCCCGAAGGTGCCTTGTGGCATGGGACCCTAGCATTTATTTACCTCTAGAGTCTTCAGAGTTTCCCATGCAGATTACCCCTCTGCCCCCCTGAAGGCTGCATAGGTCTGCAGTCTCCTCTGTTGCTCCTTTGGCCTAACAGAAACCCCCCAAGTCCTCCTGCCTGGGCTGAAGCCCCCTTTCGGAGCAGAGGCCCTGGTGCGCGCACACAGGCTCTGCGCCGCTGAGCAATTACTGTATACAGGATGGCGTGGTGCCGCCTCCACCTTCCACATCTACAGTAGACACTCACGGCCGCCACAGGCTGTTCCTCTCTATGGTTGGTCTTCCCTTTTCCTTTCCATCCTTGGTCACCTCATCCAAGAAGCCCTCCTGAGCCAGCTGCCCCCTTGCTCTGCGGCACGGCCCTTCCTTCACAAGTGTTTTCATGGCGAGCGGTGAGGCCCCGCCCATCCATTCCCCTTGTCCTGGCCAGGACACCAGCCCCCTTCTCAGGGCGGAAGGGATTGTTTCAAGTTCGGAAAAAGAGTCGCAGGGGGAAAAAAAAAAAGTAAAAGACCCAGACAGGCAGTGCCCTCGGAGAGGTGAGGGGGAATGGGACGACAGCAGGGCTGGGAGCCCAAAGAACTGCGGACGGCGCCTGGGCTCAGAAGTGCACACCCGGCCCTGGGTGCTGGTGCACACGTGTGTGTTTCCAGGCCCCTCAGCAGCCTGAGAGCTGTCTCACCAGGCTGACAATGCAGACAGCCGGTGAGCTGTGACAGAAGTCCTGAGAGGGGAGGGAGGGGAGAGCTGTAGGGACCTCTGTCCTTCCTGGCTCCCTTTGCCAGGCCCTCTTAATGTCAATCCTGCCAATATTCCCCCAACGAAGGTGGAACAGACCCAGACCCCTGGAATCTAAACTAGCTAAAAACCCACCGTGCGAGTGTTCCTGTGTGAGCATGTGCACACACATGCTTGTGGGGCATGCGTAATTCATTCCTAAGGAGCCATCTTGGTTTCTTGTTAAATTTATTTTTACTTATGTGTATGTGTATATGCTTGGGCAAGGGTATGCCACAAGCCTACAGATGCCTGAGGGGGTCAGAAGAGGATGTCAGATCCCTGGATGCCGAGTTGCATACAGGCCATCGTGAGCTGCCAGTGTGGGTGCAAGGGACTGAGGTGAGGGCCCCTGGGAGAGCAGCAAGTGCCTTAACCAAGAGCCATCACATTACTCCAGATCCTCCATCTTGATCTTTTTGTTTGTTTTGGTTTGATTTTGTTTTTTTCAGGACAGGGCTTCTCTGTGTAGTTTTGGAGCCTACCTGGAACTTGCTCTGTAGAGCAGGCTGACCTCGAACTCACAGAGATCCGCCTGCCTCTGCCTCCCGAATGCTGGGATTAAAGGAGTGTGCCACCATAGCCCGGCTCCAACTTGTTTTTTGGAGACAGGGTCTCTCACTAGGACCTAGGACTTGCCACAATAGGCTATGGTAGCTGCCCAGTGAGCTCCAGCAACCCTCCAGGAGCCTGCCTCCCCAGCTTGGGGATTAACCACTATGCTCAATAAAAACCTACCTTTTGACAGGAGGAAAGAAACAAAAAGCATCAGGACAAGGTGGTTCACCCACCATCTGAATCAACTCCTTTATCATGACTGTCTTACAGGATGGTTAAGAACAACCTAATGATTTTTAAAATTTTTTTATTTAAGAAAACTTAAAGTTAGCATATAAAGTAATTGGTTTCATGTTCATACCTGTGTGTTACTGACTTTAACTTTTAATGCTGTCACTTTTCCTGTAAA